TTATATTAGCTACCCAGAGGGGCAATTTGACTGTTACATTGCCACATGTTTACACTATATTCCAATCAATTTCACCCCATCCATGGCACTCCCTGACTTCCCCTCTCCTTAAAACACACAAGTATCTTTGTTTTGTTTGCATCGTTGCAAAGGGTATATTTCCATAGTATTAAACTTCCTTTATCCTTCCCACCTGCCCAACCTCTGTCCGCTAGGCACTACTATTATAAAATTCTCTAATATTTCATAAATACAATAAAAGATTACTAAATCATGGCTTTATGTTTGCACTTAACTGTAAGACCAATCTATTTAATAATGTTTCTAATATAAGCTAAATATTGAGCTAGGGAAGTAGCGGAGTGATAGAGCTTTTGCCTAGTAAGGGAAAGATCATGGGTTCAATCCTTAGCATGTAAATGTCCTAAATATTAAAGAGACTAATGTAATTTTTCCTCAACAGAATTCTACTGTACTTGTAATGAAAATTTTTATTTAAGAAAAGTTTCTTAGTATAACTTAGTCAAGTGTATAGTCAGGTTATTAATCATGCTAATGATCAACTTTTGTATAATGCACAGCCAATTTTGTAAGTCAAAATTCCATTTAAGCATAATTTATCAATTTAATAATTTAATTTAGCTGAATTTCAGATGGAAGACTATGTATTGATATAAATGTAATTACTATATATGCAATTTTTGTTACAAAGCTTGAAAGTAACAACCATAAAGCTGAGATTTCTATATGCTATTTTATTTTTCTCCCTATACACATAAACTAATTTTTTTGTGCCCAGGTTATCAATGAATTTAAAATACATGGTGGATGTTGTTCACCCTCATCCAACAAAAGCCAAATAAAATGTCACCTATCTCATTACAAGGATATTTTTCTGTTTTGCTCCCATCCTAAGCTTTGTAGCATAGTTTTATTAACTCATCTGGGTGTCTAGACCTTTAAGAGTATGGTAGTCCATACTGGTCAGAAGAAGGTAATAAAAGATATGGTAGTCTGATACCTCCAAAGCCTCTTCACCTGCACACAAAACCAGGAGTATAGAGGCCCAAGGTAGCAGTGGGTAAATGGATGAGATTCTGTCCATGAAGAATACGATTGAGTTAACAAAAATCTCCTTTTGAAAGAGTTAGGCCAAAGCTCCATTCAATGATGTTTCCCCTTCGACAAGATCTCTGGAAAGTACTCAGTCTCCTAAAAGTTTTTAAAAATTGTTATTATAAAGGTGATAATACAGAGGGGTTACAGTTGCATAAATCAGGCGATAAGTACATTTCTTTTTGAATCATGTTACTACTTCTCTTGCTTTCTCCCAGTTTTTCCCTCTTGTCCCCACCCATAAGTTGTATAGGGTATTTTCCACATAGTGTCTAATGAGTACCACGGCTGCATTTGTTACCCTTTATCCCTCCATTTCTGTGGCCCTCTTGCCTTCCTAAAGACAGAGAAATGAACAAGACAAAAAGACAAAATGAAAACAAGGAAGAAAATATATGGTAATAATAGAGCAACTGACTCAAAGTTTAGTTCTTTTTTTTTTTTTAAAAAAAAACATTGTAAGTCATCTATTATTATTACAGATCTCAGGTTTCCTTTGATTTTTTTTGCTCAAGGCACAGTTCAGCTTATGGCTTTTTGCTGGTTAACTGAAGATAAGAGTTTTACAAATTTTCCTGCCTGCCCAGGCTGACGTTGAACTCAGATCTCAGCCTCTTAATGAGGTCTTTTCCAATGTCATAGAAAAATTAAGTGTCTTTGGTTTCAGCAGTTATGTATCTGTTTACATGCTCTTGAGGAGTTATCAGTTGCTTGAAAACCCTCAGTTAGCCCTTCTTGGGCTGTGAATAGTTTTGCCTATCTCTATTTTGGAAAGTTGCTGAGGGCTGGGATTTTAGCATAATGGTAGAGCATCTGCCTTGGAAACCCATCCCAGCATAGTGTGTGTGGGAACATCTCTAAGACTCTTAACCAGAAACTCACCTGTCTCACCAAAAATTTGGTGTTTCCAAAGAAATTGCCAAGCATCACTTGTCTCTGCTGGCAGGGAATGATCAAAAGGAGAGATTTTTAGAGTGAATCAAAAAAGATTCTAATATTCCATTCTCTTCAGAAGCTCTGACTCACCGGGTGTCCTCCTCACAATGACTGCACTGGCTGAGCTTGCCTTTTGGTACGACAGGCAAAATGGTGCTTTATTCCAGGGGAAGATGAATTGATCTTAATAAGTACTGGGTTGCACTGGGTGAGCAAGACAAACCAAAGGAGATGAGGTTAAAAGTAGGAAAGACAGGCATATCCCTAAGTAGCCTGCAAATTAATCTTTAATTTTTATGATGCTTCTACTTCCCTCTTGGTTTTCTAGTAAGCTTTCCTTTAACAAAGACAATCAGCCAGGCACCAGTGGCTAACTCCTGTAATCCTAGCTACTCAGGAGGCTTAGATCTGAGGATCTTGGTTTGAAGCCAGCCCTGGCAGAAAAGTCTGAGAGACTCTTATCTCCAATAAACCACTCAGAAAAAGCCAGAAGTGGAGCTGTGGTTCAAGTGGTAGAGTGCTAGACTTGAGCACAAAGAGACTCGGGGAAAATGCCCAGGCCTAGAGTTCAAGCTCCAGGACGGGCAAAAAAAAGGGAAGAATGGCCCACTGGCAGGTCAGTAAAGACAGGGGTCTCTCTCTAGACTAGTGGCATGAATGGCTTTCCCTCTACTATAGAATGACTCTCCATCAATTAGCCTTCCACAAATTGCCATACCATTTGTGCTATGTCCCCAGCCCTTTTGTTCTTGTTTTTGAGACAGTCATGCTACATTTGCTTGGGCTGGACTGGATCTATGTCTCGATCCTCTTGTCTCTGTCTTTTAAGTATCTGGGATTACAGGTGTACAGAACAACATCTGGTTTAGTATCAACTTTGTAAACAATCAGTTGAACACATGCAAATAAAGTGGAAAGCAAAGGGGATTGGAGCAGGCAGTACTATAAGTTTTGCTTTCTCATTATTCATGGCTTTTTTGTTTTTGTTTTTGCTTGCATTTCTTTCCCCTAAGTGAGTTTGTTTTTATTTAATATGTAACTTTCACTTTGTATTTCAAATTCCCCTTAAGCATCTAAAAATGTTTAAGTGTCATTATTTTTCACATTAAATATGAAATTAGCCTGAGAACCTGAAAGTATGCCAGAAAGAAACTAAAACATTTAAAAAGGAATTTGAGCTGGGCACCAGTGGCTCACGCCTGTAATCCTAACTACTCAGGAGGCTGAGATCTGAGAATCATGGTTCGAAGCCAGCCCTGGCAGGTAAGTCTGTGAGGCTCTTATCTCAAACACACACACACACACACACACACACACACACACACACACACACAATTGAATTTAGTGATTTCTTTCAGCGAACTCATGGGATGTAAGAAAACCTCTTACGTATCAGGGACAATTGACATTTTACAACAGTTGCGCCGGTTAATTCTACAGCAGTGCAAAACGGTAGTACATTTATGTTTGAGGGCTGAGAAAAAACACAAGACATGGATGGGTATATAAATTCAGGCATCCCAAGATCCAGGTCTCACAGCAATAAATCAGATGATCTAAGGCATGCATACCTCGCTTAAGAAGGGAATAGACTCATTGGCAATCAAATGATAGTGCGAAAATATGGAGCAAATAATGGTAGTAGGGCATCCATTCAACCACTTCCTGATAATTGGTTGAAAAGGAAACATTGTTACACACGACACACGACACAGCTCAGAATGGGGATTAATTTAGCAAATAGAAGCCTCTTTTGAACAAAGGGTAGCTCCTGGCCCTGGGATGTGCGTTAAACCAGGAGCTGCTTGTCTTTAGGCTGGAAGAGGCTGATGCTAAGGGCTCATGGGCTGCAAAATACTACCTCGGGGGGTTTACTCCGTGACCAGCTGGAAGGCCCACAGTGCACCCAGATTGTGTGTTTCTACGGGAAGGGCGGGGGCTCATAAATCCAGGTGGGAAAGACGCCTCATTTGCCCAGTATTTGGGGAGGAAATCACCTCCCAACCCCGTTCGGGGTGCGGCATCCTTTACGTTCCATCCCTAAGCGCAGAACGCATCCCAGACCGCAGACGTGTCCCACAGCCCCGCGCGGCGTGTGGAGTGCGGGGTCCCGGGGCGGCGGCGGCGGCGGGCGGGGTGGGGGTGGGGGCGGTGACGCAGGAGGCAGCGGAGGGGGCCCTGGCCGGGAGGGGCGCGGGCCAATCAGAACGCGCGGTGTTTGGAGACCGGGGCTCCAGGTTTCCTCGGGTCTGGGCGCAGCGCCGCCTGCCGAGTTCCGAGCGAGCGAGCGGGCGGAGCCTGCGGCGGGGGTCTCCGGGCGCACCCGCCAGTCCGGATTTTCCTCGAGGCTCCCCCCGCCCGCGCGTGCAGGCCCGCCCCTTCCCGGGTCCCGACGCGGCTCGGAGGGCGCCCGCCCCTCCCTTCCCTCCCGGCTCTCCCGGGCTGTCCACCGCGCGCATCGTGCGGGGCCGCTCTTCGCCCGGTGTCCGGGGGCGGCGCCGGCGGGGGCGCGACACCCCGAGCCCGCGGGGGGTAATGCCGCTCTCGTTGTCGCCCTTGCAGCCGGACGGGCAGCGGGCCGCAGCGACCGAAGCCGGAGACCGAGTGGCAGCGCGCTCGCCGCTGGCCGGGACGCCGCCCTGGCCTGCGCTTGGCTCCCGCGGCAGCCGCAGGGCTCCGGAGCCCCGCACGGCATGAGGTGGAGGCTGCGCGCCGGCGAGCGCCCAGCTCCTCGGCCCCCAGGGCCCTCGCGGGTGTCCGCGCGTCGCGTGCAGCGGCTGCGGCCCGGGCGCCCACGCTAGCCCCGCGCGGGCACGAGACGCCGCGGCCCGGAGGCGGAGGCGCAGGCCGGGGCCCTCGGAGCGCACGCGGGCGGGCTGGACCCGAGTGCCCGGGGGGGGGGTCGTGGGGGGGCAGCGGGGGCGCGGGGCTTCTCCCGGACCCCACCGCGGGCGGCCCCGCCTGCTGCGGTCGGACACCGGTCTCCGCAGGGCGCCGCGGCGCGCAGCCGGCGCCTCTCCGCTCCGCACCTGCAGCCCCTCCTTCCTCCCGCCGGTGCCGGGTGGGGGAGGACGGGCGCCCGCGGCCTCCTCGGCTTCCCCGTCCGGGTCTCTTGGCTTGCCTCTCCCCTACCCACGAGGCCATCCACGCCTCTCTTTCCTTCTCCCCCTCCGTGACCTCTGGCCTCCCATTCATTCCTTCCTCGTCTTCCTCTTTTCTCCCTCCCCGCTCGGGCCCTCTCCCACACTCCACCCGCCGTGCGGCCCCTGCTGCGTTCTCGGGGTGTCTTTAGAGCATCCGTGGAAGTTTAGGGCCTGGATCGTGGCTCCGCGAGTCGCGCCCGAGAGCGCAGCCTGAGCTGCTGGCTGAAGAGAGGAAGATGTCCGTGCTCAGGCGGATGATGCGGGTTTCCAATCGTTTCCTCCTCGTCTTCATCTTCATCTTCTCGCTCTCCTCCTCTTGCCTCTACTTCATCTATGTGGCTCCGGGCATCGGTAAGCACCGGACTGGGACACACCCTCAATCTCCCCGGGTCGCCATAAATTTGGGGTGCCTGGGTGGTTGCTTTTGGGGTTTGCCAATGGGGCTCAGCGGTGTGTGTTGGGGGGGGGGGGGTTCGGAGAAAGCAAGCATGTTATTTGAATTGTTATCTCAGACCTGTCAAGTGATCTGCTTTGGGGCTTGGCTTGGATCAGAGTTTTATTCATGGATGCGTATTTTCGAACTTAAAGAATGTTATTAAGTGGATGTAGTAAGATAAGGTATGATGGCCTGCCGCGCTTCCTTGAGTATTTCATTACTACTTCATCCATTTGATTGCCTGTCTTTCTTAAGCTTCAGTGGAGGGTTCAGTCGGGGTTTTTATTCAGGCAACTGCAGGTATCTGATAATCCGTGGTGAAAGTACAATGGAGAGACCGCAGCATGGGATGCAATTGAGGTCGAGAGTGTATGTACTCTAGCGTTCTAGGTCACAGGTTTAGAATGGGGTCAGTGAACATTTGTGCCAGACTTGAGGAATTTTCAGGGGCTGAGTTGGCCTGTAAAGGCAGGGTGGTCCCATCAGCTAGCTGGCTTGAGTCTGTTTTTCAAGGGCAAGTTAACTCAGCTGCCTATTAGGGTGACTTCTGTGATTAACGCAATTGTGCAAAGCAGTGTGTAGTTTCAGATTTTTAACCTTCTCTTGACCACTGCAGGCCTTTGGTCCAAAGTGCATTTCTATCTAGTGTGCTTGAATTGGTTTCCTTATTAAATATTCTACTTTCTTTCCCTTCAGTCTCTTGATTGACAGGAAGACAATGTAGCATTCTAATGAATGAAACATAGGAAACCATACCAGCATTAAAGTACATCATAGTTCTGAGGGTGTGCTGAACTTCCCTGGGTATGCTGCATTTAAGGTGCCACTTCCTGTTCAAACACTAGTAGTCTTTTGAGCTAATGATTCTCCTCTGAGTTAGCTAAAAATGTAATGCTTTTAGTGAAAATAGATGCAGTAATTTGAGATAGAATTCTGATGGGCAGGTTGTCTTGATTGTAGTAGATGGTTGTAATGAATTGCCGGAGAGAAGTCTTAATCACACTGCTTCATTTCTTTCTTTTTCTTCACACTCCCCCCACCTCCCCCCAGCCTTTTTTTGGTGGTGCTTGGCTTTGGCTTAAACCACATCTCATTCTACACTTCTTTTCTTTGTTATTTTTCAGGTATGTATATCTCTTTCTGCATCTATCTCTATCTCTGTCTTTCTGTATTTCTCTTTGAAGGAGGGATTGCTGGGGCTCACCTTAGACACTTCAGTCCACAAATTGTTCTCACCTTAGTATGTAATTCGAGCACTTGGGAGACTGAGATATGAAAATCTTAAGTTGTTCCAGGGCTACATAGTAAAACACTGTCTCAACAAAACAAAACACAGCAGGACATATTTATTAATCCAACCATGTCAGCTACTTGATAGATGTCAGGTATATTCTGTTTTTCTTTTCATGTTTTTTTGTCATTTTGGGAGTCATAAACTTGTCATTTTGGGAGTCTTATAAATTTGTAGCTTTTCCTTGATATCTTTAGTTGATGTTTATTTTACCAGACATTTGACTTTGGAAGATTCTGGAGAATTTTTTTTCTTTTTGCACTTAGATGAAAAAGAAAACCTTTTTCTTTTTTCTTTCCTTGTTTGTTTTGTGGTGCTAGGGATTGAACCCAAGGACACATGTATGAAAGGCAAGCCCACTACTACTGAACTATATACCTAAGCTCCCTTACTCCCTTACTTTGTATTTTGAGTAATGTGTTAAGTATTATGTTATTTAGACAGTTAAATCAGAATTCCAGTGTTTTACTTGATAGTAATTTTTTTTTTGGTTATTGCCCTAATATATTATTTGTAGATTCTTTTTTTTTGGGTCCGGTCCTGGGGCCTGAACTCTGGGCCTGGACGCTGTCCCTCAGCTCTTCAGCTCAAGGCTAGCACTCTACTACTTGAGCCACAGTGCCACTTATGGCTTTTTTCTTTTTGCTTATGTGGTGCTGAGGAATCGAACCCAGGGCCTCAGGCATGTACAAGGCAAGTGCTCTACCACTGAGCCACCTTCCCAGCCCTATTTGTAGATTCTTAAGGGTCAATCCGTGTGGATTTTTCTTAGGTGATTAATGTCACCTCAGTAGGTTACACCATTGACAACTGAAATGTGTGTCAGATCAGGAGGGAGAGAGTCAGGGACGCACATGACAAACACATGTCTGGAAATGTAGGGAAATATAATTGGTTGACATCTATCAAGAATTTTGATGTAAAAGTACTTGTACACAGTATACATTTTAGTCATCATAAAATTTTCCTTGTAGTAATTTAGGCTACAATATAAAACATTCCAAGAACAGTCTCTGTACAGCTAATGATACTGTAAGAAATCTGTGATGAAATAATTTAGACATAGAAACATAGAACTTTTTTTTTTTTGCTGCCAAAAAGATGATAGTTTTCACTGTCTTCAGATGTTGCCCAGCATTTCCTGGGCTATTTGGGCCTTAATCTACAATGAGTTTCCTAGAACTCAGAGCTACTTACTTTTTAACATTTTTTTGCCTGGAGTGTTGAACTCAGAGCCTCACACATGCTAAGCAAGTCTCTACCATTTGAGTTGTCCTGCTCTCCAATACAATTGGCTTTAGTTGCTTTTTACTACACTGTGGTCTTTCTACCATTGTTCCTGCATAGCTGGGATTCCTGGTGTGAGCTAACATGCCTGGTTTGTATTTTGAGATAGGGTCTTACCAACATTTTGCCCAGCATGACCTTGAACCTCAGTTCTCCCATGTCCTCCCTAGAATTTAGGATTACAAGAAGCAGCCACTGTGTCTGGCCCATATTTTTCCTTAAAATTTCTAATTCGTGTTGGAAACACAGGGTAGTCTGAGGGAAACTGGTGGCAGGCAACCTCCCTTGGCTCTACTTTGGGAAGTTGATGGATGTACTGCAGTAACCCACACAGCAGAATGGGAGCCACAATATCTTCTGTATGCCTTTGTACTTGGCTGCAAAGAGATGAGCACAAGTTCCCTTTAAACTTTTGAGCTGGTTGCATTCAATAAAAAGCCATTTTCCATATAGCAACTTTTAGTCTAATGTCATTTTTTTCCCTGTGGTATCAAAGGAAATGAGCTGACTTACAAATTGCTTCAGCAAATACAAATGGAGCCCCCAAGAGAAGGTGCACACTGAGACAAGGGACACAAGGATGAGTAAAACACGGTTGTTGGTGGGGATGAACTCCACAAAGAGCAGTCCTTGTCAAGTCTGTGCTGCCGACTGTAGGCTGGTTAAAGATTCCCACAGAAGCTGGAGTTGGGAGTGGGCAACAGTTAGGGTTTATCTAGACTGAGCAAAGGGATTCTGGTCTAAGGGAGCAAATTGAACAAAGCTTCTAGAAAATAGCAGTCCTGTGGTTCTGTGGGTATGGGGTGCCATGGACTAATTGGGAAGTGTGACTCAGTGGCCTAGCCTAAAGAACATCACAGGTACCCTGAAGCTCTTGTCGTAGAGAACGGCTCGGCTCATCCAGCCTTGTCTAAGCTGTCTGTGATTAAGAAGGAAATGGATGTACCTCTAAGCAGTAGGGCAGTATCATGGGGATGGAGGATTAGGGTCAAAGACTAGCCCCAGGGATCAGGGATTTCCCTGTCGTTTGACTCAGTGTGGAGTCTTTGACCTTCTCTTGATACACTGAAGTTGGGTAGAGGTGGAATCTGGTCAGGTTACTTTGCTCTGAATCTCTATGAGCTCCCTTTGGAGTATTAACTAATAACCTGAGTAAGTGCTTGGTTCTTTAGGCCTCCAAGTGGTTTGTGTCCATTGGCCCTGGTGAAGTTGGTAGTGGGGGGGGTGGGTGGAGTATGGGTGGGACGTGTGTAGAAGCATGTATCCTGGGATAGGAGGCTTGGTAATGAACCACACTAGGCATTTCATTTTGTTTTTTCTCTGTGTTACCTCATTAGACAGTAACTTGCCCTTTAGCCTGCATTTTGCTGCCCATTTGCCTCTTGGGCCTAGCTGGGGGAGCCTAGCTGTGTTCTTTTCCTATGGTACAATCTGTTTTGAGTTGCAAAGGTCCTTGTGATTTGTTTTTCCTTCTCAAGTGCTCTAATCTGTGTGGCTATAGGCTGGGGTTCTTCTGATTTGGGCCATGGTATTGATTATCTTTTTCCCTCTGAGCCTTTTTACTGACCATGTGTCTGGTGCTGCTGCTGTTTTTTTTTTTTTTCCTTCTTGTATCAGGAAACAGCAGACGTTTTGCCAAGGTTCATGATGCATTTCTTTGTTTTAGAATAATCCTGGCGTGAACATGTAGAGGCATAGGAAAACAGGTAAGAAGTTGTTGCAGTAGCCCAGAGATCCAGAGCAAAGTTGATAGTTGCCTCAGGTCAGATCAAGGAGTTAACAGGATGGTAAAGGGAACAGCTGTAAGGTGGTGCTCAGATTCTAACTTCACTATCAGGGTAATTAATAATAGGAATGTGGAATGGTAGGTACTTTTGTTGTTGTTGGTCATGGGGCTTGAACTCAGGGCTTAAATGCTGTCCCTGAACCTCTTTGTGCTCAAGGATAGCACTCTACCACTTGAGCCACAGCACCACTTCTGGTTTTTGACCGGTTAATTGGAGATAAGAGTCTCACTGGGTCTTTTGTGCCCAGGCTGGCTTTGAACCAAGATACTTAGATCTCAGCCTCCTGAGTAGTTAGGATTACAGACATGAGCCACCAGTGCCTAACTATAGGTACATGTTTTGAGGGAACTATTTAGGTTTCAGAAAAACTGAATTAATGCTTGAGGGCCATCTAGAAAGAATTTTTCAGTAGATAGATGGAGGCCAGGAGAAGGATTTGGATGTCTTCAGCGGAGGTGAAAGACACTTACCTGTCTCTCCTCTAGCAAGTAAATTGTGCTGCAAATGGAAGTACTCATCAAGTCTGCACTCTTAAACTTGGAAAACTAGG